GAAACGCGGGCTGGGTGCTCGGCTGAGAGGAAGCGACGTGTCCCACGGTGACCGGGGAGCCAGGGAAAGGAGCAGGAGGGAGAGCTCCATGGGCTGTGGGGCCGACCGGCATGCTCGGGGCTGGGCCGTAGGGCAAGGGGAAGGAAGGAGCCCCTGAAGGGAAGGGCTGCGGCTTCGGCGGGGCAAGGAGGCAGCTGCTGCTGAGAGTCCCTGCCGGGCTCCTGCGACGCTTCTGATTTCCTCAGTATCTCCTGCAGCTTTTCAACTCTGACCCGGCGCAAGTGGGACAACTTCCTCATCACGGAAAACTGCTCGAGAAATGTCTCCAGGGGCGCCTCGCCCTCCAGGAACCTCTCAGCCATTTTCTGGAAGAGAAGACAGCCTCGGGTTCAGCACTGCATCCCTCTACTCTTCTTCCCCAAGCCCAGCTTAGGATTTACATCTCTGTCAGAGACACACAGGGGACCATCGCACCACACACAAGCAAACAAAGGGCAATCCAATTTTTTGGAGCAACAGCGCCAAACTACAAAGAGATAATCCTTGATTTAAGGGATTAGGCTTGGGAGTGTAAATGCAAATCTTCGAGGACTAATCACTTGAATTGCTAATGGATTTAAACCTTAAGCTCACCTCAGACTCCTCTTCGATTTTCTGGCTTTCCACCTGCAGGAGATCCAGCAAGGTCTGAGGATGCATTGCTGCTGAAAATTTCTCTGGGGAAAGAAAGAGAGCAGAGCAAAACGTTAAACACAAAACAGGGAAAAATCATTAGCACCCAGCCTTCTCACAGGAGTGCCTTCCTGCCTTGGAAACTCTTGATGCAAGGAGAAAATTTGAACAGGAAAGAACCTTAGCCACTGCTGCACTAGAAGGGTTTTTTTCTGCAACAGCATCCTTGATCTGTCCAACCGAGTTTGACTAAGAAACAGAAGAATATAGATCTTATATGTCCTTTCTGCCACCACCCTAAAGAGTTTCTCTGCTCAGTATGGCCAAGGTAGGGAGAAGCAAAAGGGAAGGATGTTGCACTAACTACAGCCCACGTGACTCCATCGGAAAGGGTGCAAGGTTTGCAAACGCTCACCCAGTTTTGCCTTTTGCTCTTTACACCGCTCAGCCAGCTTCTGCAGCTCTTCGTATTTGTTAGAGAGGTCTGTGCGCCCCGTCTCCAGCGGCGCCTGGAACTTCAGGTTCTGCTCGGCCAAGCTCCGATTGGCAGCAAGGGCCATCTCCCTTTCCAGCTGCAGCTCCTGAACCTGAGGAAGGAGACGCGACAGTCACCGCGGGCGAGGCGCTAACGAAGCCCAGCCTGCTCCTCGCCGGCGTCACGCCGTCCGCACGTACCTCCTGGGACTCCAGCACCAGGCGCTCGATCTCCTCTGCATTTTCCTGCAGCTCCTGGAGCTCCTCCACTGTCCGGTTCCTCAGGGTGTCCATCCTCCCAGAGGAGCTGCAGACTCCTACGACGGGGAAAGGTAGTCAAATAAAGAGGACGTTTTCTAAAGCCAACTGCAAATAGGTACTAATCCTATTAGGGATTTAAAACCAGCTTTGCTAAACTGCTTGGAACAGCTATGCCAGAGAGGTTCCCTTGTACTATAAAGAATCAGCGAGAAGGAGGGCAGAGTGAGAAGGAAAACAGAAAACATCTACTCGTTCCTGCTTTGGCAACTGACTTTTTTCCTTTTCACAGCATATTTGGAAGGATTACTTGTGTGTGCCAGACGATTTTGTCAAGGAAACACCTACTCACAGCCACTCGATAGCAGGGCGACGTCACACTCTCAAACTCCAGCTGGCTTTCGCTGCACTGTCCCATTCCAGATTCCCGTTCTGCTGAGCAAACCTCCTGGATCTGCTCGCATCTGACCGTGCCCACAGCCCACAGTCACCAGTGGGGCCACCGTCGCCACCCGTGTCTTCCCGTACCTCGCCACCTCTCCAGTTCCTCAGCTCCCGTCTCATTTGATGTGTTTTCTTTCTATGTGTTTTCCTTTCTAGCTACATGATGCCATCATTTCCCTCACTTATTACCGCTACCCTTAGAAAACATTAAGTGACGGCGTTATTCATGTGTGGTGAACTTGATCCAATACTTGTGATTTTAAAACTTGGTGAAGTATTACTAAAATCAGGGAAATAGTGCACTTTCTGCACTATGTCCATGACTTGTTCCAGATAACCTGGACTGTCTGATAATATTTATCAAATACCAGACGTTCATGTCACAGGTTCCAAGAGCTGGGATGCAATAATGTGGGAATGCACTAAAAAACACGTGAGAAACACGGGAGCAGTGCACTCCCACCGAGAGGGAAAGGGACATACCAAACAGCCAATGGGGATTTCAGCGTCGTCCTAATTGCTCGTGGCTTTTCTACCTTTCAGCCGGGTGAGACATCCCAACAATATTGCTCTGGGAACGTTGCGCCAGCCTCTGCACGTAACACAGAATGACAAGGTAAGGCTGAGAGTTACCAAATCGCTTCACCCAGGATCCAGCCAAACCCGTCCGAGTAACAACCACGTAAAAGCTGGGAAATTAGCTCCCCTACTACATATGCATGTATGTAACTTCATCACTCTGCAAACAGATGTAAACTTATGGAGGTTTTTTTGTTATTAATGAGGGTCACAGAGTGTAAGAGGAGAAAAGTATGGATAGTAGCAAATGTAAAGCTCAATCCCCGCCGCCGTGCGGGCACGGAGGTCACGGATGGTCTGTGGGAAGTGTCCAAATGGACCCCAGGAGGGTGGACACAAAGAACCGGGCATTGTCCCGGCTCCAGCTGGGTGCCAGCACGGGGCAGGGGCTCTCGCCTCACGATCTCACCTGTTTTTAGCAGCGTTCAGGCAGCACGGTGACACTTTGCCTCCCCGAGGGGCAACGCACGGGCCCCCGTGGCTG